TCCAAAAATGCTATATATTTAACGTTTTTCTCGAAAAGCTTACGTGAAATGCTGAAATAACAAGCTTTTTTACGCTATTTTTTTCACGCTTATTTGCGCTATATTTATGCAACGACATTTAAACAATAAAATATTTAAAAAAACTTGTATTTTTTAAGGATCACAATTATATTTTTAAATGACTAAAAACAAAAATTTTTGATAATGATTTCAAATTAAAAATTTAAAAATACAAGGTCTTTAGTTGAATAGTGCAATATATACCGGTCCAGATCTATGATATCATTATATTTTTGGATATTTGACATGTTAATTTAAGAATAAAAAGTTTAGATCTAGTAGTTAGAATTAAATTGTAATTAAATTATTAAATATATTATAATGTATATGCTTAAAACTAAATATGATTTATCTTATTATATTTTCGTTGTTTCTTTTTACTTTTTAGTATATTTGCTTTGTTGTTTATATATATATATGATTATATTTACATTAAACATTTGTAAGAAATAATTCTTAGATTTTTTGAGTTCATCAAATAGTATGATAATTTTTAGAATCAACCATCCAGTTTTATTATATGCAAGTGTATATTATATTTTCATAAAAATAACTTTTTATACTCAAATAGCCTACGCAACACGCAACGCTATTTACCCTACGCAGTATAACACACGCTATACTCGTTTTAAAACACTGATGTAAATGAATCTATAACAAAACTTCAAGATCAAATGAAGGCCCAAATTAATTGGCCACCTATGTAATTAGAGACTCAAGTAATTTTTCGAACTAGCTCAGTTATCACAGATGAAAGGGCCCAAGCCCATTAACCACGTTACGCAGCTGCCACTCAATAGCAGTGCCACTCGCAGCTCTTTCGCACCGCAGGCACGGCGGTTGCCGAATTGGCGCCGCCGCCTATTATTTTCATTCCCGTCATATTCTTCTTTGTTCTCTCTTCTTTTAATCTCCTCACGCCACCATTTCCTTCCTTCTTTCTCGACCGGCAGTTTTCTGGCTTCCGACGGCGAACTTACTGTGGATTTCCCCTCGCTAACAAGCAAGCTACTCTTACATACTTATTCATTTTCATTGCTCGTTTTCTGGAATTTTCTAGATTGATTTTCGATTAAAATAAGATTATTACAGTTAATTTGGATGTCCAAACTTCTTTTGTTATGTACAGTTATCACTTTCCTGGAAATTCTTGCTTGTTATATCTTCAATCGCAAGATTTTAGTTCATTTTTGTAAGAAGCTCTGTACCTATTCCTGTTAACGATGTTATTGCCCTAGTGAATTGGACTACAATTGGGAATCTTGAGGATATCACTTTAAGGTCACCAATTAGTGTAAATACAAGCTACTTGTTGCTTTGAAGCTGAACATTGAAGTTGTTTCTTGGATTATTATTTTTGGTTCTTCTCGATTAGCCAACCATTTTTAGTTCTAGTTTCATGTAGGGTCGTAAGAGTGTTGAAATCTGTTGATGTGATACTCGGAATATACGAAGCGGGAAAGTTGCTTCGCTAGTACAATATTAGGACTCCACTTGTAAGCCAGATTTTCAAATTTTATTTTTGCAATGTGTTACTTAAATTCTTGTTGTTGCTTGCATATGCGATGATCCTTCTGATTCTGGGATTTGGATTATCAGTTAAGGTATCACAAATGCAATGCATCCCAACGAGAGCAAATTGTGCTGAAAAGACTTCAGTGAATATAGTGCCTTCATTTCACAGTCCAAGTTATATTGATTCCCTAAATACTCGTTGCATGTTCAAAGTAAATATTAAATTACATGAGCTCATGAGCTTGTTATCTTTTGTAATGAAGAAGTGGAAGCTGCAGATTTGATATGAGAGATGCTAACTTAAAGGTTCTGATTTGAATTTTGTATAGGCCTAGTGTACTGAAGCCCAAAAAAAGTCGACCATCTTCATGTTCTCAGTTGATCTATGGTGAGAGTTTTCAGAATTTTTAGGTCACATTAAGCACTTGAAGTCTTATAATTTTCGATGCAGATCAAAGTACATTCGTGATTCTTGGCGAAGTTATTTATTTTGAATGGCGGTAAATGGCCGCAGGCCAAAATCCCGCCACAGTATTCGCGCTGGCCAGCCCATTGATAACACTGATTCTTGGTTTTATTATGTATTAGGACACTTTGTTTTTAAATATCAATAAATGAATATTTTTCCTTCGTTTCGCGGTTGTTTGTATTGCAGTTCATAATTCAGGAATCTGACCTTTCTTATTCTGTTTTACTCCTGTTTATTTAGCTCATATGCATCCACATCCTCGTGTGTAAATTGCATAAATATGTTTGTTTCAAACTGAAGAAATAATAAA